TACTTCTTATGGAGTGGATCACAAAATGCAGAATCTCCATTGAAGTTGTTTACTGGAAAAAAAAAAGCCAAAACTGAGCAGTCCCCAGAAGAGCTCTCTTCCTTTTGCTGACCCATACAAGAAAAATAACATCATTTCCTTGGGGGGAAGCAAAGGGACTAATAGAGAAGAAAATCATCTGAGCTCAACTCCCTCTGAGGGAAAGTACATTGTGCAGTTGGAGACTTCTCCTGAGAGGCCACATAGCACTTTAGTAGAAAGAGCAAAGGACTGAGAGTTTGGAGACCTGGTTTCTAGCCTCAGTTCCTAGTTAACTACCTGGGTGATCTATAGTAAGATATTTCATCTCTTTGTGCCTTAGCTTCTTCACTTATCAAATGAGACAATGATCCTTGGCCTGGCCACCTTAAAGGATTGTTGTAAAGATTTTGTGAGGTAATACACGGGAGAACTCTCTGAAAAGTTCAAAGTGCCACAAAAATATGAGGTGTTTTCTCTCTAAGGGCCTCTTTGGGATCTTGTCCTTTCTAAACTTTTCCTAAGTGGAGGTCAGAGGCAGTAGTAATGACTTCTAGGACCCACAACGTTCTGCCCAATGACTAGGAACATGGGAACTTGCCTAGCCTTGTCTGAGTAGTTTTTTGCTGTCATGAATGAGCAGGATTAGTCATCTATAGTTAGGTAGCCTTAGTTATCCATAAAATGTCTACATTCTGATGGGCTGATAGATCCTTCCTCTCTCCACTTTTAAAATGCTTAGGATAAGTGAAAGACCTTATTATCCAGAGCTTCCCTACAGCGAGAAAGGAAGAAAGAAAGGAAACAAGCATTTTTTAAGTACTTATTACATTCCATTACATACAGCATTCTGCTAAGCACTTTACAATTGAGGAAACTAAGACATAGGTTAAGTTACTTGCCCACACAACTAGATAAGTGTCTAAAGCTAGATTTGAATGTAGGACTTCCTGCTCTATCTGCTGTAGCACCTGTGGGACCCATATATATAGTATTACAGTATTCAGCAATGTGGCTGCTGTTCTTCCTACCTCTGGATAGATTCTTGAAATGGGGTTGGGAGAGAGAGAGAGAGAGAGAGAGAGAGAGAGAGTGTGTGTGTGTGTGTGCGCGCACGCGCGTGTGCGTGTGTTGGTAATTCAGGGGAAGGCAGGGGAAGAACAGGTTTCAGGCACCGGTATGTAGTCAAAGTCAGGAAAAAGGATAAAACAAAGGCTCTCTTATGGGTCTTCCATGATCCTAGGATTTAGAGTAAAAGCATTCATGCTGCACACTAATCCTTGCAGGATTGGCCATGTCTCCCTATGTCTATGTATGAGGTGTGAGACTGAAAAGGTTAACCTAAACTCTTTTCTGAAACCTAGGAGATAGTCTTTAGGTATATCTATAGAATAGAGACAAGACATCTTTCTCTCCTTTCAAAAAGTCCAGGGTATGAATGAGTCAGGGGACTGAAGACAGGGAGGGGGGAGGAGGGGTAGGGAGAAAGGGAGGACCTAAGCAGAGTGCAAAGTGGAGAGCCACTCAATAGAGTCAAGAAGTACTACAGTGTAACAGGAGATCAAGGACAGAGAAAGAACTTGGCTGCTTCCCACAGTGATCTGGAGCCTTCTCTCCCAGGGACCTGCTAGACAATGGAAATGGAGTTCTGGCTCTCCATTTCAGGGCAGCTGAGTGCTCAGGCTAAAGGCAGCAATCATGCTCCATCTCTATCCCTGATCTCAGTATCCCCACTTATCAAATACAGGAATCTATGGCTCTTCCCAGGGAAAGAATTGACACAGGGAAAGGTCTAGGAAGGTCCCAAAGGGCAAAACCCCCAAGGAAGTAGCAGTATCAGAGCATCTTCATTCCAAAACCAGAAACCTGAAATGGTGACCAACACTAGAGAAAGAAGGTCTGAGCTGGGGGGGGGCGGCAAAAAAGGTTCTCAGTCTTTACAATATCCCTACCTCTTTCTGTGAGGCATGTTATTTTTCAGCATCCTGAAGCAAGTAATTAAGAAAATTCTTCTCTTCCGAGCATCTTTAGGAAGAGGTTAATGTGTCCAGGCCAGAGCCAGTCCTGCCCAGAGACATGGGGTAAACTAGATGATTTGCTAAAGGCCTGAAGAATGAACAATTTTCATTCTCCAGTTTTCTATATGAAGTGGAACACACACACACAAACACACACACACACACCCATGGAAAGTGATGTGTGTGAGGTGATCTCTTTGGAGCTCCAGGTGGCACTGGAGAAGTCAGGAGGTAGTGAAGAGATGAAAAGGAGACGATGGCTTCCCTGACTCCTCCGGGGGGCTTGCTTCCCAGCTCCTTGTCTGAATCCTGCCAAGGCAGCTGTTGTCCAGACAAAGAGCCAAATCTCCTTCCAGCTAGGCCAGCCCTGAGAGGGTGACAGGATGAGAGAAGGATGGGAGGTCTGAAAGGATGGAGATGGGAAAAGAGTGCCAGGACAGGAAGAGAGTCTACAGCTCTTGGCCTCCTTGTGTGTTTGCTGAAGTTCAAACAGGCTAAGACCTCGGGGTTAGGACAAGAGGAGACAAGAGGAGAGATAGCCCCTTTCCACAGCCCCCCTTCCTCGCCTTCAGGCAGCCTCCTCCCCTCCAGCCTTACTCCTTAGCCACATGCCCTTGGGCTGAGCTAACTCCAGAACCCGGCTGAGTAGGGGAATTGTTCTGAGAAAGTGGCCCGTTGGCTGGTTGCTATGGAAACCGACATACCACAGCTCTGACCCCGGAGAGGTTTAGCACGCTCCCCCAGCAGGGATGCCAGCAGCTGGACTGCAGCTGTTACGGCATAAGTGGGGGCTGGAGCAGCAGCCAGCAATCCCTGCTGCTTGACTAAGCCAGTCCCTTTGGCCTACCCCCACCATTCCTCCCACCCCAACTCCCACACACCCTTCCTTCTTCTGAAGCAGAGAAGGGAGAGGCTAAGTACACCCAGGGAAGCTCTGGACAGACAGACAGTTCTGCTCCAAAGTTAGGATTTCCTCTGAGTCCTCAGGACATCCTATTTCTGAAGTACCATGAAGCCCAGAATTTTAGAATTGGAAGGATTCTTAGAAGGCATGTAATCCAATTTCTTTACTTTATAGATGAAGAAACTGAGGCTAAAAGCAAATGAGGAAATAAAACTCAGATCACCCATGTTCCAATCCAGTACTGTTTCTATCCTACCATTCCAACATTCACTTGAACTGACAGCTGTTACAAGGACATACAGCTTTACCCAGACAAGTGTGTTTAACCAACACCATCCATCCTCTTAGATGAAGAGAGAGAGGTGGAGATAAAAGGGCAAGGGGAAACTGAAGGTGGAAACTTATAGAAAGAGCTAGAGAACTCCCAAGAGAAAGACACAGGTAGGAAGGAGAGAAAATAAGGATGGGAAGAGGCAGGGAAAAGGTGAGAGACAGTCAGTGAAGAAAGTCAGAGGCAGAGAAAGGTGGAGAAAGGAGCATAAGAGAGAATGAAATATCAAGAATAAGGGGCACTGAATGGGACAGGCTGCTTCTATCCCCTACCTTCCTCAAACAAGCAGAAATTTGAGGAGAAAATTGTGGGGTAGTGGTGGCATCAATAGTGGTTGGGGGAGGGGAGAGGACGGATATTAAAATTGGTTTCGGGGAGGCATCTTCTGCCATCCCATAATGCTTTGAGTTTCCCAAGTGGCCTCTAAAACAAACACAGTCAACCTTCCTCCCCATAGCAATGTGAAACTGCAGGGCTCTGGCCAGGCTAATCTGAGCTGGGATACTAAATAAACACCCCAATGGCAAGGAGAGGTGAGATAACTTTCACACTGAAGCTGAGCCTATATCAGTCATCCATCGGCAGTGGCCAGAACTATAGGCCTCTTATTCATTCCTCCTATGCAGTCTGTCTCTCCCTCCATTCATACTGCCACTCATCCTGAATGCCTCCAAGGTCATCCCTCTGGCCTGCTCCTGGTAGAACTTTAAGCCAAAGAAAGGGGACATGAGGAGTGGGGCCTCACCCTTCCTGTTTCCTCTTCTCCCCATACCCCATTCTCCATACACAGCTCTGCCCAACCCCCTGCTTTGCCCATACAGAACTGGGTCAAAATCCAAAGGATCTTGTGAGCAGACTGCCCAGCCTCCTCAGCCTCCCCTCCTACAGTGCGCCCATCTCACTGCTCACAATTAATTAACACCCTTTTTAATATACTTCCCCTCTAGCCACCCAAAAATATTTGGTTGCAGGCCACTGACGGACTGCTTTGCATCCTCTCATCCTTTCAAGCTGTTGGAAAGTTGTTCTCCTTACGAAGGCTTCGCTCCACAGACACCAGGACTCTGAGAACAGCTCGGGAATGTGCCAACATCATTACACTCAATAATTGAAGACCTGGCTCTGCGATGGGCCGGCAGATTGCTTTTGCACTTACCACCTTTTTAATAAAAATTTGGTATCTCAGGTGAGTTATTTATATTGTGCTCTCACTTCTGACAAGGACAATATTAGAATTGTAGGTCTGCTCCTCTAGATTCCCCTCCCTCCACTCCTGTGTACAATACAGGTACGGAATTTATGGACACTTAGCCTTGAAATTGGGTGAGAGGAAATCGACATTGGATGGATTTGGGATATCCTCACTCAGACAATCAATCAGCCAACATTTATCTAAGTGCCTAGTGGTGCAGACCCAGAAGTATGAGACAAGGCACCTCCCCTCAAGATGCTCACAATCTCATTGGGGAGATAGGACTAACTCCCATGAATCAAGGAGAAAAAAATACTAAATCAAAAATACTAATCAAGGAGAAAAAAGTACTAAAGGATGTGGTCTCCATTGTAAAGACAATAAGGATGGTGGCCGTTCCCACCCCTAGAGTATTTGCTCTGACAATAGGTTGCTGGTAAGGGACAAGAACTGATATTAGGAAGCCGGTCAGACACCACAATCTCATAGCCCCTTGACATCAGATCAAAAACATTAAAATGCTAGAATGGCCCCCACCTCATCTCATTTTGAAGAGACAGCTAGCAATGTCATTTGCCTCTAAACAGCCTCTCCAAACTACATCCCAAAGCAAGAGATAGGACATGATTGCAAATTTATAGTCTATAGTCCACACTTTGACAATTAATCCCATAGGGTCACGTAATAACAATTGACGTTACAAAGCACTTTAAGGAAGGCAGAGGGCTTTGTGTACATTATCTAATTTGATCCTCACAGAAGCCAAAGAGGTGAGTACTACAGTTGTTGTGATCCCTGTTTTACAGATAAGGATACAGATGTTCAAAGGTGTAAGTGATTTGATGAAGGTTACAAGGCTAGGAAGTATTAGAGGAGATTTGAACCAAGGTCTTCCTGACTCTAAATCCATCATTCCATTCACCGTACCGCTATTCTTCTGTTTCATGTCTGTAAGCCTTGTTTTCTAATGAAGGCAAGGACTATGATTTGAAAAAATTGTATTGCCATTTTGTGGCTGGACAGTGAGGAGTCAGGAAACAGAAGTTGCTCTGAACAGACTTTAACACAAACATGCACAACCCTGTGTGAAAGTGGAATGGAAAAGGAAGTCGGCAGAGAAGAGGCTGTGTTGTGAAAAAGTTGCTTGGGAGTTTAAGCTGGCACTGGAGTCAGCTCCTCAAAAAGTTAGATCAGCCTACAAAATGTTGGTTGCTAGGTCCAAGGAACTGGGAATTGTGGTCCCTTCCCCTAAGAGAGGGAGGAAAACAGCCTGGCCTCAAGGATACCCTTTAAATGGCCACTGGGGGGCAGGGGAGGCAGTGGATACAGGAACATGATAGGTCAGCCTTAGATTGAACTGTCTAGGAAAAGATGATTGGCTTGAGGGCTGGAAGAGATCTCAGACAGCTCTTAACCTTTCTTTGTGTCATAGACCTCTTTAGTAGTCTGGTGAAGACAAATGGACCCCTTCTCAGACTAATGCTTTTAAATGCATAAAATAAAAACACATAGGATTGCAAAGAAAACAAATTGTATAAAAATACACTCACCAAGATTTTTTTAAAGTTCATAAGCCCCAGGTTAAGAAACCCTCATCTAGTCCAATCTCCAAATTTTTCAGATGAGGAAAGTGAGGAACTATGCTTGTCCTTGTACTAACACTTTTATTAATAATGTGGTTAAAGGCAGAGGTGGCATGCTTACCAAACTGGCAGATGACACAAATTGGGGAAGGCTAGCAAACACACTGAATGACAGAGTCAGGATCCAAAAGGAAGGATCTTGACAGACTAGAACACTGGGCTGAATCTAATAAAGTGGAATATAATGAGGATCAATCAATCAACAAACATTAAATGTCTAGTGTGTGCTAGGTACTGGGTATGTAGAAATGAGACAGTCCCCACCATACAGGATATTCTGCTGTGGAGAAGGGGAACAGCATATTCACAGATGAATAAATAGAAGTATGAAGGATTTACAAACTATAAACATTCTTCAAATCACTAATAGTAAGACAAATGGAAATTAAAACAATTGTGGTTTCAACTCACCAAAGAGCAAAAAAAAAGGAGCACACAGTAGTGGAGAAGCTTAGAGAAGAAGACAGGCACACTAGCACACTCTTGGTGAAGTTGTTTATTTGTCCAACTATCTTGGATGTCAATTGGAAATTATGAAAGAAAAGTAAATAAATTTTCTATATCTTTTGGTCTCACAATCCCACCACTGGGCATATACACCAAGAAGGTCGAAGGCAGAAACAAAGATACAATATGTACCAAAACATTCATAGCACAGCTCTTTGTGGTAGCCAAGAAATGGAAAATAGAGTGATTGCCAAACAGTCAGGGAATGACTGGGAAAAAATAAACAAATTGTGGTAAGCGTAACATATTATCTTTATGGAGTAAGAAATGCTGAAAAAGGAAGTCTGAGAAACATGAGAAGTTTTATGAACTGATGCAGAATGCAATAAACACCAAAAGAATAAACATTAGGAAAAAAATAGGGAGGGTGTAGCTAGATAACATTTTGGAAAAGATCTGAGGGTTCTAGTGAACTACAAGTTCAAGGACTCAACAGTGTGATGTAACAGCCAAAAAAGGCAAAGTGGATCTTGGATGCATTAAGAGAAGCACAGATCTTTTTTGTGGTGGCTAAGAATTGGAAATCCAAAGAGATGCCAATCAACTGGGAAATGGCTAAAAACGCTGATATAATGGAGTATTCTTGTGCTATTAAGAAATGACAAGTACGATGATTTCAGAAAAACCTGGGAAGACTTACATGAAATGATACATAATGAAATGAACAGAACCAGGAGAAGGTTGTACACAGTAACAGCAATATTGTTCAATGAAAAACTCTGAATGACTTAGCTATTCTCAGCAATACTATGATCCAAGAGAATGTCAAAGAACTAATGATGAAGCATACTATCCACCTCCAGAGAAAGAACTGATATTGTTGGAATACAGACTGAAGCATGCTATTTTTTACTTTCTTTGATTTTTTTATTTTATTAGAGTCTTCTTGTACAAAATGACTAATATGGAAATGTTTTACATAATTACATATATATAACCTATATCTGATTGCTTACCATCTCAGGGAGGGGAGGATAGAATTTGGAACTCAAAATTTTAAATAAAAATGTTAAAAATTGAAAAAAAGAGAGAGAGAGAAGCACAGTTCTGGGGAATAAGGAAGTACCAGTCCTTCTGTACGTTGCCCTGGTTAAAACACATCTAAACTATTGTGTTCAGTCCTGGGTGCCACAGTTTGGAGGAGGATATATATATATATATATATTCTGGAGAACATTCAGAAAAGGACCGACCACCAAAAGACATGAGGATCTTTTGAAGGAACTGGGGAGGTTTAGCCTGAACAAGTGAAGACTTGTTGGGAATATGATATTTGCCTTTAAGTATTTGAAAATTCTCCTGTGGAAAGGGGAACTAAACTTTTCTTTAACCCCTGAGAGTCCAACCAGGAATAGATAGAAATTTTAAACTACAAACTTATGCTTGGTAAAAAACAAACAAATTTCCCAACAATTACTGCTAGTCTACTTGGGATGTATGTCTCCCTTGGGAGAGAGTGGCTTCCTACTCAGTGAAGGTCTTCAAGCAGTGGCTGGTTGGCTACTTATTGAGTATGTTATAGTGAGGATTCCTTCTTTTTTTAGGGGGGGCAATCACGGTTAAGGAACTTGCCCAGGGTCACATAGCTAGTAAGTGCCTGAGGCTGAATTTGAACTCAGATCCTCCTAATTCCAGGGCTGGTGCTCTATCCACTGAGCCATCTAGCTGCCCCTGAAGATTCCTTTTGAGGGTAGGTTGGCCCCCTTCCAAATCTAAAATTCTGCGATTCCCAGAGAAGTGAAATGTCTTGGCCCACGTCAGAAAGATAATATGAAACAGAGCTAGGATTCAGATTCACTTCTATAGAAAATGAGATAGAAGTCTCTATTTTCTGCTCTCTGACAATAATAATAAACAATAACAGCTAGCAATTATATAATACTTTAAGATGTGCAAAGTGCTACACATGTTACTTCATTTAATTTTCACAACTGTATGAAGTAGGTGCTGTTATTATCCCCATTTTACAATTGAGGAAACTGAGGCAGACAGGTTAAGTAATTTGCCCACATTGACAAAGCTAGTGCCTGGGGCTACATTTTAGAAGGGGCAGTGAGATGGTGCAGTGGATAGAGCACTGGGCCTGGAGTCAGGAGGATCTGAGTTTAAATCTGGCCTCAGACCAGACCCTTGACACTTATTAGCTGTGTGACCCTGGGGAAGTCACTTAACCCCAATTGCCTCACCCCCCCCAAAAAAAGGACCAAGAAGTCTTTTCTATTCAGAGAAGCAGGAAGCTCTAGAGGCAGAGGTAATGTCCCCTCCCTTTTCATCTAGTTCAACCTCCTCATTTTACAGATGAGGAAACTGAGGCTGGGAGAAGTAAAGTAACTTGCGAAAGGTCACAGTGGCAGAGGCAGGATTCAAACTAAGGTTCTCTGAATCTAAATCCAGTGTTCATCCCATCTAACCATGGAGAACAACAGGTATACCTCTGCTCAGAGATGAGGAAGATAAAAATTAAAGTTCCTAAATGCACAAGAAGGACTGATAGTATGGACCATGTTATTAAAACTCAATGTGGAAAAAAATTAGTTCATCTAGCATTACATAATAGAGTCATGAAGTCACAGAATATTAGACCTAGAAAGCAATCTGGGAGATTACCTAACCCCGAAGCCCACCACCCTGCAATTTTATAGATAACCAGAATTCTATTAACTGATACTAAAGGACAATGACCATTGATACTCATAATGATTCCCAAGGCCCTGCAAAAATCCAAAGCACTTTCTGAATCATCAAGAAGTAATTTCCGCCAGTGTAATTTGATTTATGTTTGCATTCTTTGAAAATTAGTACTATGCATATAGGGAGACATGGTACCTTTGTATGAACTATAATACCTCACACCAGCACACACACACCAAATAGCTAGGCAGCACGCTGAATAAGACTGTATTTATTACTCTGCTATTGTGGAAAGGTGTCTAATAAGGTTGACTAAAGCCAACACCAGGCTATATCAAGGATTCCCACTAAATAAAAGGGACAGAAGCATCCTCTGAATCTCGAGGAGTCTCTCCCTGCCCTTGACTAGGGTCAAAATCCCTGAGACAATTTAACTGCACCCCTCTCTCTCCTCTACCCCCCCCCAACCCAAGCCCTCCATCTCACTGTGGCCTGATGGATGTGGGCAGGGGGGATGCTGCCACAAAGCCCGTCTCCCCTGCCATTTCATCTGCAGCTCCCTCCCTGGCCCTGTTTTTCAAACCTCCAGTAATAAAAACAAGCCAATAAAATGAACATGAAAATATATTCATTAGGATTTATAATGCTCATTAAAACTGCCTGTGTACGAAAGCATGACTTAGCTTCATATAAGTGGGAAAAAAATGCAAATTATACTGCATGCAAAGAGGATATTTCCCTAATCGTCCAATCAAATGCCA